TTATTTTTTTTAATTACGATAATTTGTTTTTGACTGGTTCAAGAAAAGTGGATTCAGTTTCGATGGCACAAACTAGCCTAAGAATAATTTCTGAGAATAAAAAAAAAAAATAATAATAATAAGAAGAAGAACCTATGAAGCATATATTTCCACTATCGCCAATAAATCCTTAATATATTAGGTATACGTATGGTTTTGGGTGACAAGAATTTTCTTGCTTATATATGGAAAAGAGGAATAATAATCCCTCTGCTACCCTGGAAATATGGATAGGGTCATATTGCTTCTCGCTTCTCATGTTAGAATTCACCTAGCTTCCATCAAATCTCTTCTGTCTTATCCTAGAGCTGATCTGCACAAAATAACTGGTATGGACAAACAGATTGCAGTCAGTGGGGGCATTTTGCCCCATCCAGTGTCTTGACTAGCTCCAGAGTTGGCTTTTTTTTGGTTATTTTCTTACCAGTTTTTATTTTTATTCCAATGTTTGTAGCAGAGTTGGCTCCTCTGCCTAGATTTGCAATATGATGGTTTACGTGGCTGATAGATATAAAGCAGCAAGCAGTCACGATATTCTTCGGGCGAACTGACGAGAGAAGAGCTGTATATGTGCTCCCGAGGTTAACCGGCCCTTGTATGTAGGCTACACAGATTGTAATGCAGGAAAGATTTTGACGTACGAACCCACCAAAAACAAACACAAGATCTTGCGGTGCGGCCAAGCAAAGCAAGGACAGATTCTGTCGCTTTTATTATCTCTGTTTATGTGTGTGTGTGTGTGTGTGTGTGTTTGGGAGGGACCATTATAAATATAAATCACACGAAATCTTCATTATTCACCTTTAAACCTCACAGGTCCAATACTCCAGGGAAGAAAATTAGCAGCATGAATAATTTTAAGTGCAGAAAACCACATCCAGCATTGAAAATGAAACATGACAAACTGTTTGATGTCTTCTTAATATGTACCACACCTTTAGTTTGCAAATATCCGGATACATGTCTTGTAAGGCAATTCAAAAGGATCATGAAAATTACCTCAGGTTCTAAGAATAAAAATACAATTGGAAGCCATCTTTATGGGCAGACACTGAATAACAATTTTTGGTATTTGGTCACCTGTGCGGGTTCTCAGGCCCACCAATATCTTAAATAAAACACTAGTCAGGGTAGCCCTATACATCAAGAACTTGACAACTGACAAGTTCTGCAGACCCAAAATCTTTACTGTCTATGACCTTCCAAAAAACCGTATCTGATGAGTCAGGATGCTCATGCAATGACTTGGCAGAAACAGAAGTTGAGCTCAATGGGGAACCCAAATTATCTTGCACATCAGCCTGCATAACTGCAATGTTACGATTGGCATCTTTTGTGAGGACATGAATCTTTCCATGAAAACCCGTGAGCAAATATGGAGATTCGGATTCTGTATAATCCGCAACAGGGACTTTTCCAATGGCAACTTTCCATGTATCTTCTTTCTGATCATATACCTTGATCTTACCACTGTTTGGAGAAGTAGACGGATCAAATGCATATAATTCACCATCTACCACTATGCTCAATTTTGTACCTGCCTGCCGTGCAGGCCAGCCGTCTCCCATGCCAGTTGGCATTTCAGCCCATGAATTTGTTTCAGGATCGTATATTTCACCACCGACATCAACAATGAAGGGCCACGAGTATAAACTTTGAGGGACAAATAATCTTCCCATGTAAGAAGTCATCCCAGTGGCTATAGGCTTTAGCAGGTCAGACAAATAGGCAGTGGGCACCAATTGAGCTCTTGAGAATGGCATGCTTGGAACATCAGACCATGTACCCGTGCAAGGGTCAAATACTTCAGCGGATTGAAGAGGAGTCAATCCCCCTCGGCCCTGACTAACCCCACCAACAACATATAGCTTGTTATTTAAAATGCTTGTCTTACAGTAAGCCCTACCTGTAGACATGGAAGTCGTTTTGCTCCATTTGTTTGAGATTGGATCGAACCGCCAGACGCATCTCATGGTGGTAGCTCTAGAGAACCCACCAAGTACATAGAGGCATCCATCAATAGCACCGACAGAACAACCACCGAAAGGCATTTGATCCAGCGTGTCCTTTTGCCCCAGCCAACTCCTTACGACTTCAGCAATTTTAATGCCTGACCCAACAACGTTCCACAACCAAAGCCCAGAAAATCCACTTTTAGATTCGTCGGCACAAACAACATTCGGCATTGGAGGCAACCTCTGCCAATTTCTTGACAAAGGGTCCAACGCATGCCATGATAGTTTATCTGCTTCATCCTTAATCAATACATATAGCCATTCTTCTGTTAATCCAAGTTCTTTTCTAACTTTAAACAGCTCAGCACTCTCAAACGTGGCCTTCCACTTCCTTGAAACCAATCGCAGGTTGAAGTAGCAATATCTGGGGAGTCTAGCAAGTATCTGGATGGATAACTCATCAGGAAGAAACGGAATCAATCTTGGGCTTTCCTCATCATAAAAAACAGAGGATGTCTTTTGCCTCTTGCAGCTTCCATTATTTAACATCTCATTATACTCGCCTGTCCTGCATTTGGGACCGACCAAACTCAAAACACCTCCCATCTAGAAACCCTCAGCTTAGCAGCACCAATTATGAACTTGGAAAATACTGCAAAAAAGGGGGCATATTTTTACTTCAACTAATCAGAAGCTAGATCGACAAGATATGGACAACAGTGAAAAAACAGCATTTATACGAGGAGAATAGTCTTGAAACACTTCAACAATTCACTAGAAGATTAATCATTAAATCTTCATAAATCAAAGAAACAGCAGGGAGAATTCAAGTCAAAACGCTCACCTCAAACACAATAAGCAAGCAGCATCAATAGATTTCACTGCCCTTCTACAGAAACATAAATTTGCCGATAACTTTTTTTTTTTAATTTAAAAAAGCAGAAACAAGTCAATCATTGTCTACTGATCCCAAATTCCCCCAAAACTGCAAACCCAATTAAAAAATAAAAATAAATAGTAAAACCCTGATCAAGAGTTTCATAAGAATCAAGCCAAAGTCATAAACTTTAACAAAATTGGGGAGATTCCCAGAGTTTGCTTTGAGATGGATCTTACGAGTAAAAATAAAGACAGGCTTGATCAAGAATTACCTTTGCTGCAAGTTGAGAAGCAAGCCAAGAAAACGAAGAAGGATAAGACAAATAAAGGAATACCACATGAATGCGTGTGTAAATATACTTGGATAAAGATGTTTTACATTTTTAGGTAATAATATGTATATGCGTAGCAGAATCAACCTCTTCAAGCTGTCTGTTCTGATTTTACATGTTGCTGTTTATGTTTCCATTTCTGAAATATTATTGGATATTGAAGCGTAGAAAAGTCTGCCACGACCGCAGCAAGGAAGGAATCTTTGCTTGACTTCTTTGAAGCAATTTATTCACGATTTCTTTTTCTTTTTTAATTTGATATAAATATATGTGCGCGCTTTTTTAGGGAATATTTCTAATAATATTTTTAAATGGATTATTTTTTAAAATATTTTTTATTTTAAAATAATATATTTTTTATTTATAAAAAATTATTTTTGATATTAATATATTAAAAAATTTAGAAATATTAAAAAATATTAATTTAAAATAAAAAAAATTAATTATTTTTTAAATATAAAAACAAACGGTTATGTACTTTCAAACAATTTTTTATACCAATTTCACCATTTAAGTTTCATCAATTCTCAATTTAGTCTTTTTATCCATGTTTGGGGTTATGGATTCTATTGAGAATTTATGTTTGGGGTTATGGATTCTATTGAAAATTTACTATATTTTGTGATAAACAACTTGATTTATTACGGAACTTATATGTTTTTCGTTAAGATAATCTGAATAGAAGTACCAAATTAAAAAAAATAATTAAATTGATTAGAGTTGTAATTGGTATAAAAAACTTCTTTGACATGCATATTTTGGAATTGCTTCGTTCGATTGAAGTTGTGGTCGTTGCTTGTTTGAAAATTTAGGAACAAGGCAGCCAAGTCTAGAGCAAGAGTGGGCCGAGACTACCCTATTATCTGTTTATGTCTGCTATCAGCTCGGCCTTCTATTCTCCTGAATTCGAAACCTGGTCACTTGCGTAAATTTTCCCTAGTTTCGTACAGGATCTATTCAAGATTGACAGAAGAAAGCCTCAAGCCTAGCCTACGGATTCCTGTAGAGTGATAAACAAGACGCACACAAGAAATTAACAGCGGAAGGAAATGACATGCATTATCAAGATTAAAGGAAGAGTTACAGCAATGTGACTACTTATACAAATGCATGCATAGCGAATTCTGGGCTGTCCCAGATCAACCGAAAGGCAGCTCCAGCACGAGCTAGCTATTGTTTCCTTTTCTGACAAGAACATGAATTGTTTTTATCGAATCCTGTTGTAGGAAACTGTAATGGAAATAAATGTTCGTTGCCCTACCTGAAGGGGGCAGCAGACACCTGATCTTTTGCTGACACATAAGTGTTGTTGTCTTGGTCTTTTTTGATTATTTTGACTGCGGGAAAACAAGATTTACCATTGAACAGATCTCCTTGTCTTGATATCGAATGTTTTCTTCACCTTTTTTGTTAGCTAGTCATATTCTTAAGCCTATTCACGTACTGAATTTTACTTCTCATATCATGAAGATATCTTGTTGCCTTTAAGGAGTCCAATGGTCGAAATTTTGTATTTTTCAATTTGTTCCATCAGATAAGATTTACAGTGAGAAAAGACTGTGTTTTCCTATGGAAAAGTTATCGCTTTTCTCTAAAGAGAAAACATACAGAACAAGTTGAGCGAGTAAATTCGGAATAATATTATCATACATATCTTTAATGATTTTTGGAAAACTAATTTTCAAGACATTCTAATAAAAAAAATAAAATAAAAATCTCAAGTATTACATCAATTAAAGCATCTAGAGAGAGAGAGAGAGAGAATGTAAATAGAGAAGAAGGGCATCTTACATTGCTAGTGTACGAGATGCATGAGCCCCATTTCCTCCTTGCCCGGGTGATCATGAATATTATTCACACATTCGCCAGCATTTCGATGGGCATTAGCATTGCAAGGTAGATTAATGCCCGATATCATCCTACCCGCATAAGTAGAACACTTGCGTAGATCTCCAGACTTCTTACTCCCATTCTTCAAACTTGATTTAGGCAAAGAAGCAGATGCTGTCACTGATTTCTCATGTGTTACCTCATCATCCACCGCGACTGTGTCTTCCAAATTACCAACATCATCATCACTTGAAAGTTCAATGTCTTGATATGCTTCTCTTCCTTCTTCTTCTTCATCGAATTGCTGATCTGAGTTTTTCCCAAGAAAATCAACATCTTGAAGCTCTTTATCCTTTTCATTTTTAGAAACAAAATGGGAACATATTGTCTTATCGTCCAAGGGTACAATATTCAAAACGAGACGACCATTTTCTCTCTGTGCTTCAAAATACTCACGATTCTTCACTCTCTCTTCTACAAGGACCAGCCTTCCATCGATGTAGTGCCTAGTTAAAATCCAAGGCATTTGACCAGGCAAATTCCCCGTTCTTGCAAGTAAGGGTATAGGTGGAGGATATTTCTTTCTCGTCGCATAACGCTGTTTTCTCTTGTCTTGGTGATGATAAGATTCTAGCTTCTCCATTTGTGCAGCTTCTTCTACAATATTGGCGTTCATGTAAACACCACTCTCAGTCCCAATCAAATCATCCAATGCAGAAGAACAAGAGGAGTATGATGAGGAACTAGTGAGCAATCGAACTAGAGGTGGAGAAGTAGACCACGATGGTGGTGAAGGTGCAGATATCATATAGGAATGAAGAGTGTAGCATTTATGAGTTAGGTTTTGATCAGGTCCTCGTGAGTGAAGTAACAGGGTTTTCAGACCAGAATAGGCTGGCCATTCACTTGGGAATCGCATAGGAGATGGTGACGCTGATTTCCATATCATGATTCCAAAAAGAGTTGAAACAACAGATTTAGCCTTGCAAAATAAGCTGCCTTCACTGAGATTTTCCATATGACAAACAGCTAGCTAACCAAAGGGCTAATTAATCTCGTTAAATCTTCTTAATTACCTGCAACTGGAAGACAAGGAAAAAAGAAAAAGAAAGAAGGTTATGTATAACCAAAATAAATATACACACACATACAGACACACACACACAAAAGCATACGAGTACTCTGGAAATTAAGAGCGGCTACAAAACAAATTAGTCGGCCAAGGATGAACCTTTGTGCCTCCTCTTCAAAACAGTACTCGCTAGCTGTATTCCTTTGCTAATATATAATAATAATAAATAGAACAAACAGTGAATTAATATATTTCTTGGGCCTTGAAAAGAAAACCACCATTTATTATCGTCGAAGGTCATTGTTTTTATCGAATCCTGTTGTAGGAAAATGTAATGCAAATACATGTTTGTTGCCCTAGCTACCTGGAGTTAGAACTTGAAGGGGGCGGAAGACACCTGCTCTTTTGCTGACACATCACTTCTGTTGTCTTTGTCTTTTTTTGATTATTTTGACTGCGGGAGCACAAGATTCACCATTGAACAGATCTCCTTATCTTGATGTCAAACGTATTCTTCACCTTTTTTGTTAGCTAGTCATATTCTTAAGCCTATTCACGTACTGAATTTTACTTCTCATATCATGAAGATATCTTGTTGCCTTTAAGGAGTCCAATGGTTGAAATTTTGTATTTTTCGATTTATTCTATCAGATAAGATTTACAGATGAGAAAAGACTGTGTTTTCCTATGGAAAAGTTATCGCTTTTCTCTAAAGAGAAAACATACAGAACAAGTTGAGCGAGTAAATTCGGAATAATATTATCATACATAACTTTAATGATTTTCGCCAAACTAGTTTTCAAGACATTCTAATAATAAAAAATAAAAATAAAAATCTCAAGTATTACATCAATTAAAGCATCTAGAGAGAGAGAACATGTAAATAGAGAAGAAGGGCGTCATCTTACATTACCTTCTTGCCAGGCAATTAGTCCATGTATTTGATTCGTAACTTGGAAAATAGAGGGGGGGAAAGGAGGGAGAGAGAGAGGGAGGGAGGGAGGGAGAGAGATCATGTGGATGGAAAGGCACTAAAACCCTCTCATTTCGAAAAGAAAACCTGCTCTCGTGTACAATCATTTAGAGCATGGTGTCCCTATTATAGAAAACTTTAGGGTTAAATATTGTAGTTTGTTTAGGAATTATGGTAATAATTATGATTTAAAGTGTTTTTTTAAAAAATATATTAAAATATTTTTTAAAAAATTATTTTTAACAATAACCTATCAAAGCAAATATATACACATAAAAAATTAATTTTAAATAAAAAAATATAATTTTACTGCAATTCCACACACTTCACTGCCTGTAAACATTACTGCTATTTAAAAAATAAAAAATAAAAGAGAGTTTTTGTACGCTATCCTCTAAGTGAAAACGGATGGCTTATTGATTGAACTTTGGATTATCTGCAACCGATGTATTTCCAGGTTCGGCAGTTGATGCTCGTCTTCTGGCAAATCAAGATTTATGAAGCCATTTCCTGGTGCTGAATGATTGAAGCGTTTCTTGAAAGTGCATTGAGATGCTTACAAATATCACTCGGGGAAATATCCATCAACAGGTTTTGTCTGGTTTTGATCTCTCTGGCATCCATGTTTGATGCCAAGTCCGTTCCTCTCTCTTCTTCCACTGACAACCTTTGAAGACACGTACAACCCTTTCTATTTGTAGTCCCATACATAGCTCTACATGTAAATTCTACACCCTTCTCGAATCTGGGGCAGGACCATGTTTGTTTTGGCTCGAGGGGGCCATGGCACCCTTCAACTATAATGAAGTTTTTTTTTTTTTTCTTTACATAATTGAATTAAGTATTCATTTGCTATTATGGTTAACACTGTGAACCATAATTTATAGATGTTTGGTTAAAGAAGTTAATGTCTGATTTAGAAATGGATCCCACTGAAAAATGAGTTCATGCCACATGTTTTGCTAAAGCTAAAAATTGCTGTTTTTCATTATTTTTGCTAGCATTCTGCACTGCTTATCTTCTTAAAGCTAAAAATATTATCTGTATAGAGTTTAATTTAGAGAGCGTGTGGAAGTGGTTGGGAGTAGAGGGGAGAAATTAGATGGTCCTGCAATTAAAATATGCCATGTGGCAAAATGATCATACGAGATCTCAATTTTTTTTCAGAGGCATTTTGCACGACTTTCTCTACAATTCATTTTTGTAATGTGAACAATGAGTGCAGAGTGTAATAACTAGTGTAATGTCAAAGTGAACAGTAAAAAATTCTATTCTATTTTATTTTTATTGTATTTTATTCAAAAAATTAGTATTTAATATTATTTATTAGCACTATATAAAATAAAAAAAATCACATAATGGTGTAGCATTTACAGAATTTAATTTTAATCTTAATTTTATTCATGATGATATTTTATCTGATTTTGTTGTACGCTCAAAAAACCATAAAAATTATAATGATGGAATTATAGATAGTTTAATGGAATAATAAAAAATATTTTATATAAAATATTATTTTTATTTTATGATGTAATAGCAATAGTTAAATTTACAATATTTAAATTTAAAAATCAACAATATTAATATATATCTTTTTTTGTTATTTTATAACCTCAATTTAGAAAGCATTCTTAACTAAATACATTAGATTATTTTTTATTCAATCTCAATTTCATCCATAGTTTTAATCAGATATATATACCAAACCAACCTCAACCAAAAATATATTTTATAAAATAATTTTTTTCAAACTATAACTACAAAAACTACTATAATACCAAACACACTCTAAGGCTTGTCGTTCTTGAACCTACAAATCATATATTATTTCTAGGGTCTCCATCCTTCTTCATTTTGTTTTCAATTTTACCATTTGAACTATTAGCTTATTTCAAAGTATTCTAGTTTCAATACTTAAACATATAATTTTTATTTTATTAATAAAATAGTATATAAATTAATTAATGAACAGGCATTTGATAAAAACAAAATACCATACATTTAATTTTAGAAGCATAAATATTTAAAAGGATTTCAAACTTTCAAAGTGATGAAGTCATGCAACAACTTCATTAAAAATATATTTTTCCTGATTGATGAGTTTTGGGTCTGTGTTGATCTTATAAAACAAGTTTCTCGTTAAAGAAGATATACTTTAATACTTAAGTAAATATTAGAGTTTGTTTGATCAAGTGACAAGCATGTAAAAAATCAAAATAATGAAATATATCTTTTTTGTAGTGTAGCAAAGATATACTAAGTGTAGAGTTATTCATATCAAATCCTCATGTTCTCTTTCAAAACCTATATTTATAAAACATTTAGAGAATATTTAGTATAGCTCACTATGAAATGTGATAATTGTTTTTTGTGGTAACTTTCACTACGCACCTATATTTTAAGTTATAGCTAGTACATGTATAAAATAAAATAGAAAAATATAAAAAGAAGAAGAGAATAAGAGAAAAGAGTAGTTTGATTGGTTGGGTCATGACCTAACCGAGCTAAAATAGCTTGGTTGGATTGTGGCCTAACTGAGCTTGAGTTGAAGCTCAATTAGGATGCCTAATTGAGATTCTCATATATAATTTTTTTATTATTATTTTCCCTCCAAGTCTTGTAAGTATACATGTTTGGAAGACTTTAACTAGATAAAGAGGTCATAAAATGCTTATAATGTAAAATTTTTCCTTTGCCATGTTTGAACAAAAATGTTGCATTCTTAAAGATATTTGTCATTTTTTTTGTGAATTCATGAGATATTTTTATCAATATTTTATGGATAAGGATCCATGATCTTTTAAAGATGAATGATCACGGACTTGGAGATAGTGGTTATGGGGACCTTAAAACATCTTAGTCGCTACTAAGACTCGGAGACAATTGGTCACTAGACTTCAGGAAAACTAGTGGCAGAAACCTAACTATGTAATGAAAATTAATGGAGACTTTTCCATGAAAATCTCATGGAAACTCTTCGTGATTACAGACATAAAAGCACACTATGTATATGTGTGCCAACACAACCTACATGGGTCCAGGTTAAATGTCTGGGCCCGCCCAGTCTATATAATAATAATAAAAATAAACAAAAAAAATCAAAGGCACTTTAAAGAAATTTCATGATTTTCTCGCATTTTTTCTGCCAATTTTGTTCAATATCAAGCTTCTATTATAAAATATAAACTGGTACAAAATACTTGATTATCTTTGAAATTTATGAAAAAAAAATTCTTATTTCAAAAACATATAAAAAAAATATTTTGTTTTTATGCATACGACAGAATCCTAAATTTTTTCTAAGCATACTTTTATAAGAAACAAAAATTACATCTTTATAATGCTTTAAAATGCAAAATGGATATCGTAATCAGTTTATTATTATCCATTAGGGTTTGACCAAATTATCAAAAACTAAAAATTAAAGTGTTAGGATTTAGCTGTGGACTTTAACATTTTAGGGTATAAAATTACATTGTAAAGTATATTCTCAAATATTAAAGATATAAAATGCAAAATAAATGTAATGCTAAAATTTAAACCTTAGAATGACTAAGATTTAACTTAGCAAGAAAATGTAATGCTAAAATTTAGACCTTAGAATGACTAAGATTTAACTTAGTAAGGTAGAGACTTTCTCACAAAAAGGGATCTACTCTGAACCTTAGACAAGATCAATAGACATAAACATGACCTATAAAAATAATTAAACAATAATGTAGCTTATCTTAGGTAGGGTGCACTGGTGGGGATATGTTTTTCCCTTACATAACCAGTTTCTTACCTAAACTCTCATAGATTATAGATTTTCTAGTAACCATAATATAAAATGACTACTTATAAACCTTATAATAATAATTTTATGATTAAATTAGGACCTCTTTTCACCAACACTCAAAAAGTAGACCTGTTATTTGACACCTCATGTGTCACAACAATCATCATTTATATATTTTCATCATCAATAACACCA